CTACTAACACAATAAGGTCAGCTAGTTGAGCCACAGGCAACACATCACTAATCCTACCTTCAGACTTCAATGTTATACGCAATATAACATAGTCTTTTTCTAGAAGTCCAGGGAAGAATAAAGGTGAACAATAAAGGAGAATGGGCAAAATACAGGAATTAACAGAAGGTTTCAACTTCTTTATGCACTAAGTCAAACGAAAGATTTTCTAAAAGAGACCAACAGGATATGAGACAACCAACAGAGATTTCAAGAGCAACTGATATGGAGATAGGAGGTATTCAACTTACTCCTTATCACAATACCGTTTATATTACAAGAATCATCGGACTAAATCAACTGCACACGCAAGTCTTGTTCGCATCCGAAACTAAAATCAACAAGTTGACATTTAAATGACCAGACCAGAGCAACTCAAAGAAGAAAATATTAGGACAGAGACTGTCAGATCATCAGAATATTTAATGAAATTAGCTTTGGAAAGATGAAGAAAAAAGAGGTGGAGAGAGTACAACGTCTTGATTCTCATTGTGGCACTAGGGCACCTTAGATTGCTGACTATATCTCACTTTCAGTCAGTGGGTAGTGATGACCCCTGACCTAAATCCATACAAATCTATGCAAAAATTTTAGTAGTTGCTCTTGTCAGCAGCATTCTTCATTGCTTTTTCGTTTTCTTTGTTTTCTCAACTTCTAATTACGTCATTAGCATAGTATTTTACTCTTCTGACAGAATATAATGACCCGAGAATGATATAAAGGTGGGTTGGCACACACAGACTTGACCTTAGACAAAATTTTAATATTAACTCTAACTGAGAAATCAATATATTGTCAAACAATGCACAAGTAAAAGACACTGTCTTCTCTGACGCCGTTGCCACCACTGTCTTTCTTCAACACCATCTCTAATTTGGAACTCTTTCGGGTTTTTTCAAAAACTTATCATTACTGATTAGCTTATAGTTAAATAAAACCAGATGTTCAATGGTCAACTGAATTAAAACAATTGACGAATAGAATAAAATGGCGGCAGGGGGATGCACAGCATGACATTTAAACAAAATAAAGTTTAAATGACCTTATCATTGTGTTCACGAACATTGGTAGAAAAAACCCTATGGAATATTTTAGTTATATATATATTTTGAAGTCTCAAGAGACAAATTTTAGAGTTAGACAAGTTCCTCAGTTGGTGGTACTTATCTGTTTCGCTTGCATTAGGCTAATCCTTTCTGTTTCCAGTAATACTGTATAAGTATATGACTGGTTAAGCCTTTATCAGTCGTTGATATAGGTCATCTGTGTAGGTTGGAAAGAATTCAGTGGGATATTACTTTTATTTTACAGGTTTCGTATTGAGTTATCTGCTGAATGACAGTGGTTAATGTTGGAGTCTAGTAAATGTGTTTCGTCCCACCCAGGACTCGTCAATTGGGTATTTTCTTGGAGTTGGCTTTTTCTGAATTCTTTCACAGAATTCTTTCCCTGTGAGTTTAACACAGAGTACCATCATCCCAACTGGTGAATTACACGTCGTTTGTAGACTTTTGTGGGATTAATAGGAAGCACACCGTGCTCACTGGTTCATTGGTAGGATACTAACTAACCAAGCAAATGGTTCGTGAACATCTTGAGCTTACAATCGAACTGGCGGGCATGCAGATCTACCTAGTGATGCTGGATAACCCCGATCCCCAAAACTATGATGTATATGGGCTTGAGAATTCGGAAGGACGGAATGGCGTATAAACTTGTTTTATCCGCCAGAAACCATGAGAATGTAGTTCCTGATGCCACTCCACTGCCTTGTGAATCAGTCTTGAAGTTGAAGGCTGTTGGAATAGTCCTTTAAGACTACCATCTACTTCTATCTGGTTGTCTGATCGGCCCCTAAGCCTTGCACAAACTGTGCGGCTTTGTCTGGTACACCTCCTGATGTCCACAATGCACCGAATTGGTGTTTTAATAATAATTAATGCAGTCTAAAGCGATAGGTTCTGAGTTCCACTCTCAGTGAAAATACCTTCACTCACTAAGGGACGTGAGTACATACACTTGATGAGCACAAAAAGAGTTGAGACGCATACAACAGATTACAGTGGCAGCTAAAACCAAGAAAGTAGGAATGAAAATGTTCTTCGGCATCACTTATTCAAAATTCAATGCTGTTTAAATGTACAAACACACAAACTTCAATCTAGTCCTGTAGTATTTTTGATAGAATATTGTCATTTTTATTTTCGTGTAGAAGTGATACTCGCTAAACATACCACACAGTGCCCAAGGGGAGGAAATGGTAACTACTTCAGTATGAGGTTATAACAATATTTTTGATTTCCAAAAACAGTATTTAGTATTTCTAAAAACCCTCAGAATTCTATGTAATCTGGAGTCGATTACAGTCTATAATGATTATATAATGCCCACCGGTGGTTCAATGGTAAAATGCTCGCCTGTCACTCACCCGGTCGGCGGTCAATCCCATCTTAGCCGATAGTAAGCCAGATAAAGACGGAAGGTTGAGAAGATGAGGCTGGCAACACTATGCCCCCCCTGCACCTCCTAGATAATTAAACACAACTGCTACTGAAACTCAAAAGCTTGTAGCTTGAAGCCTTGTGTCCCAATGGGAACACAAAGGCAAAAAATTAAACTAATAAAAACAGAACAAATAAGAGTTTTTGAAAAGTGGTAAAATTGAATATGGGTTCATCTGGGACATTGTGACAGAGTATAATCCCACGGAGGTTTATCGATTTTATATAGCATTCAGTGACAAAGCATTATTTACGGAAAGGAGCTTTCTATCATAGATTTTAACGCTTTGAGGAATGCATTTAAGAAAAAAATAAATAAAAACCAGCTCACGCAAAGTTAAACTTTAAGCACCACCAACTACCAATCAGCGAATGACCTCGAACGCACCAACCACATGAAAGAGGCATTTTTGTGTACGGAATACATATATTTACAATGAAATGCATAAAATCTGTTACAGATGATAACTTTCTCTAACATGTGATAAAAATATTTGTCAATTTTAGGTTGGAGTGTCAACACTGTTTATTCTATTGTAGGTGAAATTTATTTTGATAAAGTTTCATAGTGTTATACAGTAATATTTAGTGAGGAATAAATTGCTCTCAAAACGTTGTCATCAGTAAATATTACTGTATAACACTGTTAGCCTTTATCAAAATAAATTTTACCCACAATGGAATTATGCTCTACCACACTGCGCAAATTCTAGTCTTATATCAACAGAGTAATTTAACCACATTCTACGCATTTAATTAGTAAGGTCTTTTAACCCTGATTTTTCTTGAACCTAACTCTGACGTTAAAATATCCTTAAACTAACTGTAATGTAACTCGAAACAATCCTAATGTCACCTTTATAAGGTTAACCTAACCCCAACTTGACAGATATCCCATTTAATAGCATAACACTTCGATGAGTATAGTTTATTGATAGTGACAAAATTATTTGTCAGGTTTCACTAACTTGCTCAGTGAGCGTTTCAAGGTCATTGGTGCGTCGCACTCTATTGGTTGTTAGTAATGCCTAAAGTTTAACTTGGCCTCAGCTCATCACTGAGTAATATTCACTATCAAGCTACGGTGTCAAGTAATGATGATGAAAGTTATTCGGATGGTACATGTATTGAACTAGACTGATGGAAAACAGAAAGAACCTTATTTGTTTTACGTTTCAACTATCACCGGTCACCAGACACACACGCACAAAAAAAGGAACAGATTTAAGCTAATCAGGCACATTTTTTCCTACAAACAAAATTCAGTCCTAAGTTTTGAACTCTAACAAACAGACTACTCCCACGCAATGTTAAGTGTCTCATCCCAAATAAAATGAAAAAAAGTGACGCAGTTCAATGGTCCTAACAAAGTGTAGCACAATTCCACCACGTGTTCTAGATGATTGATAGTCGAATTCTTGGTGTTTATTCCTACGGGTTTATCAAGTAGTGAATTTCAAAAAATTATTTATTCAAATTTTCGGTGAAATCGTGTTGTTTAAAATACGCCTACTCAAGTTTGCTTCGCTGGGATATTGAAGTACACGATTCCCCATACAAGTGAGTTCCATGGTTCCATAACTCATTGATTATTGTGTTAGAATACTGACTTCTTTGATACTAATAGTTGTCTTAACCAAGTGTCTAGGGTGAATAGTCTTAGTTTTCGACAGTGTCATCTCTCGACCTAGTACCGAAGAGCTAGATAGGTAAGGGAAAGAATTTTGAGAAGAACTGGACTTGGTAGGTTTGTGTGAAGAAAGATGCATTTCCAGTGGAGTGTCTGTAGAAGCTGCAGGTAGTTTAAAGCATATGCAAATGAGTTTTACTTCATTTCAGATGGAATCAATGAGTTTACAGTCAAATGCCATGGTGATAATGGAAATTTCAGTCGTCATACAACAGTCAATGAGTCGAACAGTGGTGATAGTAACTGCCACATTTTCAGTGTCAGAAGAAAGGAGTCGCACTGAAGAGGCGAACGAAGCAATCTTGAAGGTGATAATGGAGACAACAGGATACTCGGCATTTTTAAGGATTTACACCCGAATTTGCCAAGTGTTATCAATGCAGTGTTGCGTCAGTGTGATAAGTATCTTGTTAGGTTTTTGAACTTAGATGCTTTTTGTCATATCGGCCTAAAACTAATCTTATTAAAAAATGTAGACTCTTGGTTGAACACAGCATACCCACAAGGGATACCACCAAGGAATACACCGGCTTAACTTCGGTGTTCCATCCCTAGCCTACTCATTCCTGAACTTGGCTTGGCTGGTGATATTCCAGGTAAAGAGAGAAGGTGTGGCTTGAGGTCGACAAACTCATCGCATAAAACCAAACCCTACTGCTACTGAAACTCCATACTTCAAGCTTAAACCCTTACTACCACTCATCCGTCAAACCAAATAAAATAAAAATATAAGTTTGAGAAGGATAATTTAGTAAAAATGCTGAACTCACCAAAATATTGCATAATAATTTCCATTGTTTATTTTTTTAAATATTTTGATATTCCAGAGTAGGGTTCATTCAGTGTGTCAGATTGCTTCTTTCAGTCTCAGAAATTATATGTAAATATATATACTCCAGTTTATGTTAAATAAATCCTTCGCTGGTTATGTAATAAGTGAATTACAGTGTAAATTTTAAATCCTTGGTATATTACAGTTCCACAGAGTCCGATAGTTTACATGTCATATAACAGAAATGCATATACAATCATCAATATACTCAATAAAAGCATCACTGCACTCACATTAATATATATTTGCATTCTAGATAGGATTTTCTGATTCGTCAATCCGCGAACCAATCAGAATTCAGAAAGCATTTATAACCAATAGCAGGCGAGCCAGCTGATTGGCGCCACATACATATATATCTTTTCTCTTGGCAAAATGCTGTCAACACAATTATAGCTAGCTGTATTTTGTACTGAATTCAAGAGACAGTAATTATAGGGTAGTGACAAAAGAAGAGAAAAAAAGAAATGAAAACAAAATAAACATTATATCATAAATAATATTAGTGGAGTGATGAATAGATGTCTGAAAAAGGCATAGTAAATTTAGCATTTACTACTATTACTGTCTGCATTTTAGTAATGTGTGGTTGAATGAAAGGGGAATTTCGCTGTGATATGTCTTTCTTCCTGTTACTGTTTATTGACACTGTTGTTATGGCGGCTAATAATGTACATCAGATGTTAGCAACACAACAGAAATTGTAATTTTAAAACGACGGAGACAGTAAAATGACGGGTATAGACAATTCAGTTTTTGTTTCTGTGTTATTATTTAATAATGGTAATTATGAAAGCAAAAAAATAGAAACAAAATTAGTAGAATGTAAGTGTTTGACTGGAATATAATGTAGTCAGAATGAGTACGATCTGGTACCATAAATATCTTAACTACTAAGCAAAATTCACGACTGGAATTATTGGGATTAGCAGACACCGATTAGATCTCTGATCTGCTTGATTTAATCGCGAAGCTTTCTTTGACCTTTTAGACAAAATATTCATACGGAAACTTGCTCTGAAGATGTTGTCTAGAAGGACAACGAAAGCTTCGCAATTAAAACACCATTCAAATCAGAGAAAAAAACTAAATCAAAATCATCCATGTGAGCTGAGAATCTTCGCCAGTTCCATTATGGGTAAATTTTATTTTGATAAAGTCTCACAGTGTTATACAGTAATGTTTACTGATGACGTTTCGAACAGAATTTATTACTGTGTAACACTGTGAGACTTTATCAAAACAAAATTTACCCATAATGGAATTATACTCTACCACAGTGCACAAGTTTTATTCTTATATCAATCTTCGCCAATATTTCAAAGACACCGATTAGACATAATTCATGGGTTACTAAATTCAAACTCAGTGGATGAAAGGTTAACAAACTCACCTCGGAACCTGAAAGTTTCCGGGTTCAGAGGTGTGCGTTGCCGAAAAACAGATGTTCAGTAGGGCAGGATTAACAATCATTCTCTAACTGAAATCACTTCATCACAAAGTCTACATTGAAGGTAAACTAAATCGTCAGGAAACTTAAAATTCGCATTGCCTAAATGAATTTTTGGTCTAATTTAACTTGTTACTGTGTAAATGTAAATGATTGTCAGGGTTTCCTGTTTATAAAAGTTTATTATTCGATCGACACACCTTTAAATGACCTGATTCCCTCCGTATGCACATAACTGATGTTGATTTATTCCACACAGCTTGAATAAAGAGACAGCTATAATACACAACGCTGCAGTTTTTAAAGAACCAGTGCATGTAAAATATATTTATATTTACTTACTACCAAGAACTGGAAGACATGCAAGTGAAATGCAACAAGTTGGCAGAAGAGGCATCCCGAGACGATAGGACTTCAGGTGAACATAGAGAAAACAGGTGATGAAGATTCCTGGCCAACAGCAACAGGAACAACATCAACAACAGATAACAATCAGCCAGCACAAATGGGAGAAATTTGAAAGAAGGAACCTCCTTCACATACCAACCTACCTGGGAAGCACCGTTCCAGTTACAGGTGGACAGGTTTTTGATCGGGGATTGATATCAGTTATAGGATCATTGAAAACCAGTATTCTAGTAATGATAGACCACTGTTTCTTCCTCTGAGTTTGGAACTGATTGAAGGTGCACACCCATCACGGGGGTTTGAAACACGACCTTCCACTTACAATTCAAGCTAGCTTGTAGACCATTCAGTCACTGGGACCTAACCCAGTGGCCAGCTAATCAATTCTAACTTCTGATAATCCATCATTTTAGAGCGACTAGGGACACCACTGGATGTCACTAGTGGTGAATATTTGTCTTCACTCCTGATCGTTTAGACCCTACTGGTTATGACTTCTCACTAGTAGTCAAGTCAATTTCATCGTATAGCCACTTAGTCACTAGTGATCATCAGATTAATTTTCGAGAGTTAGTTTTCTAGGGATCTGATTCATTTATAAAGTTTGACAATGGATTATTGGTTTGGGATTTGATTGTTTGGTTACAGGATTTCATCATGAGCTGATACAGGTTACAGAACCACTGGAAAACCTGGCAGTACTGTAAGACAGCCATTTCGTCCCAGTCCAGGACTCTTCAGCACCACGCACTTACCTCCAGGATTCAAACCCAGGACCTGCTGGTTCTGGCTCGTAGATCAAAAGTTCATGAATTCTAACTTCCACCAATTCATGACATACCACGACCACCAGCCAACGTCTCCGACGAGTATCTGTCCTCACTCCCAAGCTGCTCCTGCATTCGATTCCCGGTGGATGCATACTGAGAAGAAGTCCCAAACTAGGACAAAAATGCTTCCCAGTACTCCCAGACTTTCCAGTGATTCTGTAACCGATGTCAGTTCATGATGAAATCCTGTAATCAACGGATTGATATCAAATAGAAAGATCACTGAAAACCAACGAGTTCTAGGGAGCATTGTGAACTCACATCCTCACCAAAGATAAAACCCGGGCTCCTCAGTTCACAAAACTGACTTTGTTGACCATTGACCCTCTTGGGCTGGAATTCACTGATACCGGAGACCTAACCCTCCATCCAGTTGTTAGTGAAAAATCAAATTCATACATCAGCGAAGAGACCGTTTTCAACGAAATCATTTTCTTCAGGTGTACAATAGTATCTCTATAAAATTATTTTTCACAAAAGAGGCTAGTAATAACATGATGAGTCATCATAGTCATATGTGTCAATTAATAACCAATAAATCAGAGGAGATCAGTAGTGGAGTTATAAATACGTAATAAGACAAATAATTCAATGGATGAGTAGCATTCGGGAGGCACATAGGAACAAGGGTAAATTTGATGTTACGTAAGACAACGATGGAAATACAAAAGCTGTAAAGAGTTAAAAACAAACAAACAAAATCAATATTTACTTTAAACCGTTTAGCACAATGAGACTTGTGGTTCAAGTGACCCGTGATCGAGATTTTCCGTTATCTTCAGCTATCTTTAACGATCACACTTTTAGCAAATGATTTGTACGGATAATACTAGTGATCTCAGAGCTTTTGATGTCGATCATTTTAAATTGCAGTGAGTTTGTGAGGTGGGTCAAGCTGACCTCAAACGAATGAAACAGACAATTTCGATTACGTCATGTGCTCTGGACGTTACTCACTTTACACCTATTCGGCTAAATTATAAGAACATATTTTCTGTTGTTACGTAGCCTGTTATGTTGCTATGCTATTCATAGTTGACCTTTGTTTCTACCCAAAAACAATGTTTGAACCCTTTCGGTTTATTTTGGAATATTCAACTTATTATGATCTAAGTTGTCCATCCTTTTAGCTCTTTTAATTCTTTAGCCACTAGGACCCGATTCAGTGGCCCGTGACGTCAAACGTCTTGTGATTTTTGATTTTAGCAAGACCACCAGCCAATTGAATCGGCTGGAAATCCATTCTCACTCCCGACTGGATGGACCTTACTGGATACGACTTCTCACTAGAACTCCAGGAAACTCCGTCCTGTAACAAGTCACTAGCGAGCATCAGATTAATTTCCAAGAGTTGGTTTGTAAGGATTAGATTTGTTTGATATCCAGTGGTTCTCTAACTGATATGAACATGTAGTTGAACTCGAGAAACACATCTTAGTATTTTTTTTTTTTGATTTACAGCTTGATTCCACACCGTATTTTTAGTACAAGTGTGGAATTTTCAGCATGGATATCGGTAGCCCAAATTCAGGCCGACCATAGATATCGGGTGTGCGCCGGCAGGGGATCGAACCTCGGACCATGTGCATGGTCGGCGAGAGTCCTAACCACTGTGCCACCGACCATTTCCATCATTCACATCTTGAGTGTTACTTATAGTTCCAGACAACTATTCCTTATCTTCGTTCATGTAATTCATACGTTTTATATTTTATGTTTATACTTTTATATTGTGTAATTTCTGAGCATATCCCTAAAATTCTCTGTAAGAAAGCCAACAAAGTGTTCTGAAGTGCAATTGTCAGACTCCTAACTGACATAGAAATTTGCCGGACTTTTAAAATAATCAGCATACAAAGCAAAGCATGGTTACTTCGGTTCGCAGAAGCCATTGTTATCTCAAAAGACTTAGACCCAACCTCAGTATGTACAGAAAAACAGCGTGACTAATCCTTCACTGCCATGGTAATCAGCAACTGTTTTATTCTTGTGCTTTTACCTTCGATCCTGTTGCGTAACCCTCCACTCGATTTTGACTTTCATTCTCAGTCACTGAGTTGAACTCACTAATAAGTCTCCAAATCTACTAAATTATTTTATCTTTTTTGACGTGGTTGTGTTTTTTGAGCTGGATGGTGGTTTATTTGCGAAGCTTTCATTGCCCTACTAGGCAACATCTTCAGCGCATACTTCAATTTGAATTGAAGTGAGCTTTTTGATTTCTCCACGAGTTTATTAATCATCTCTCCTGGTGGTGACCATGAGAGCGATTGGTTGTTTTCGTGTGTTTTCACACCCTCTAGGCTACTTGTATTGGTACCAGTGCTGATTATTTCCTTGACGTGAGCATTGAAATTTTGTGTGTGTGTGAGTTTTCCTTCTTATCGGTTGGTAAATTTTGTCTATGTCGATGTATCTATTGATTGACGATTCACTGGAATACCAGGCTTGCTTCTAAAAATTCTCTAGAATTCTTGGTGTTTCCTCTGTCTAATATTTGAACGTCTTAGTCAA